TCGACTCGGCAGGTACAATAATAATGTTTTAATATAAAGAACACAAAATAGCTGACAGGGCAGCAAACTTACATACACAGGGAATCACTAGGAACTCAGGAGGCAAGAGGTAACAGGAGACAATGCCAGGACCATCATAAACACAAGGACACAGACTTATATACACAAATACACAGGGAGGCAATCACAAACACCTGGACGACACGAGGGTGGAAACAATCAAGACACTTAACAGGGGGACCAGGGAGTGTAGGGATGGGACCCGCCACAAGGGGGCACCATCCTTACAGTACCCTCCCCCCAAGGGGTGGGGGGAGGGGTGGATAGAGCAGAGTTTTCTTAGTTTACACATCCCCAGAAGCAATTTGATAAGTTGGCCTATTCAAGGTTGAACGGGGAGGCCAGAGTCTGATAAGCTACAGTTGTTTTTGTTCAGGCAGAGTGTTTTTTTCGTCAGCCTTGAGTTCTGCTGGTACTCTCGATGATCCGAAATGGCCAGATTTGTGGGCTTTTCGCTGGTCCGTGCTTATTAGCCTTCTCCAAGATCGATTCCAACTTGCTAGCGAGTTCCAGAAGCCGCAAGTGGCCAATTCTCATAAATGGCTTCCAGCTTACGGTTGAGCTTGTAAATCAGCTGAGTCTGAGAGCTTAAAGCACAAATTAATCCTTCACATAAGGTCGGCAGCTTTGCCATGGCCGAAACTGCTGCTGACGTCTTCCTTAGTAGCCGATAACATAGGTATCCAACGGTGTCAACAAGCAGAAACCCTGCTAAAAAAAGAGCGTTACATGCCATGCGGTCAAGTTGTGAGTTAGGATGCTCTTGAAATGCCATCTTCAGTGTTTTCTTTAGCTTTCTTCTTCTTATCCAGTTTAGGAGTGGAAGAGTGCAGGGCAGTTTTTGTAATGGCTGTGGTGTTGACGGACCAAGAGAAATGTACCCCTTAACTTGAAAATAATGGTAACAAAGTGTCATTGTTAGCAGTGTGGTGGTGACAAAGTCTTACCAACATGTAAACTCCAAAGTTCCAATGAATATTCTTCCTTCTGTTGATGAAAACACATCAAGTAGGAAAAGAGTTTCAAGTGATGCAACATAAAACAAGTACTGACTTTAGTGTTGTTTCTCAGAAGTGTCCTTCAAAGTGTAGATTGCCAAAAGTTTATGGAAACTGTATTGCTGATCTAAAAAAAAGTTAAGTCTGGTCCTCTGGACATTCAAAAAACAAAACAAACAAACAAAAAACAAAACAAAAAAACACTCTGGTCCAGAGGACGAGACTTAACTTTTTTTAGATTTTTCTACGTGGATTATTGAGCATGCATCAGGATGTATTGCTGATCTTTTCTTCTTTGTTCATAATTAAAAAAATAGAAAATGTTATTTGCACAGTCAACAAATAGCTCAGTGCTTCTGTAGAAGTTGCCAAAATCGTTTGTAGTTTCCATTTTAGAAAAGATTTGATTAGTTTTTAGAGATGTGTTTTGTCAGAACAGGACGAAGACAAATTGTATAAAGTGTAAACCTGATCAGAAAAAAAGCCAAGTATTAGGAAACATGCTTTAACTGTTCTATTTTTTTATTTAACCTTTTTTAATTTAATTTTATGAATTAATTTATTTTTATTTTTTCCTCTCTGGCTCTGATCGAGGTGGCAGCTTCTGTCTTTCCTCCCCCGTTTTTCCTTCCTCCTGCTCTGCTCTCTGTGTGTCTGGGTCTCATCTCCCGAACATAAATTAAGAAAATTATGGATTTGGTATTGTGGGCGTTCAACTCTATTGATAAGATTTTTTCATCAAAGCGACAAGGTCCTGGAGAACCGGCATGTCCAGCTGAGACTCACGCTGTGGGGTACGTCATGGATTTGTGGGGAGTGTGGCAGATGATGTGTCTCTCAGTTCTGTCTCAGGAGGATGTTGAAGACGTTTACATATTTGGAATTATGATAGCAGGGACTCTGCTTTTTGACATCGGCGGGGCTCTGTTTTATCGACTTTTGAAGAAGACGGCGGCAGCAGTTTCAGCCATGGAAAAGCTTCTGAGTCAGTGTGAAGGTCTGGTCCGTGCAGTAGGAACTTTAAATCATCTGGTTTATGAGCTTAACCGTAAGGTGGAAGCGATTTATGAGAATCGCAGACAACCTGCGACTTCTGGGACTCGTCAGCGTTGTGGGTTCGACCTTGAAGGAGACTCATAGCATGGATCAGTGGAATGGAATCCCACAATTAGGCTTTTTTGGAACCAGAACGCCCAGATGGACTCAAGGCTGGAAAAAAATATGTCTGCCTGAAGAAAAAACAAAAATCAAGCTTATCTGAATCTGACTCCCCGACGGCCTCGGAGACAGCCCGACTATCAAATTTCTCCTGGGACATGAGTACCCAAGGACAAAAGCTTCATCTATCGCACCCCCCCCCCCCTCCCCCCGAGAACTTTCTGTGTTATCAGAACTGCTGGCTGGAACAACATCTTCAGAAACTGTGGCTGATCTAAAAAAACGCTCATGGACAAATCTCAACACCTCGATGTCAAATGCAAATGTAATCATGTTTTAATTGTCACAAATCGTGTCATGATAGACAAGATGTGAAAGATCTTTTTTTGTATTGCCACTATCTACCCTCATGTTTCTACCCCTTTTCCTATCTCAAAAATATTATTCTGAACAAGAATAAGAAAAGGCAGCGCTTTCTATAGTTGCAGCTTCGTGCACTCCGCCCATCTTTCGGACGACTGTACGTACATGTTCGCGTTGTATCTCAGTGCAATGCCAATAAAGTTTATTCTGATTCTGATTTATACAGGTTAGTCCTATTGAGCCTCAATGACTCATTTACATGAGAGTCTTGATTTTAACAAAGAGTGATGACAACAATAGACAATCATAAAAGATTGTCCTGACCTCGTCCTGTAATGTCCACACTTTACTTATGTGACATAAAGGATGATGCAGCTTCTCATACTCAAGCGTCTTTATTTTACTCGTACGTTCAAACAACAGTACTGTAGTACCCAGAATCCTTTGCAAACTCATCTCTTAAAGTGACCGTACTTCAGTATTTACCATACATTACATCTCCCCTCCTTAAAAGAGGATATCTATATAACTACAGTAAATTAGTTGTTGTTTTTCAATGTATGTTTTTTTCCTTCACAAACAATTTTCATAAATCAAATAGCTCACTAATAACAGAAATTTATTTTAACTTTAATTAACGCTTTCCAGTCCATCGTCATCTGTGAATCCTTTGCGCACTCATCTCTTAAAGTGACCGTACTTCAGTATTTACCATACATTACATGTCCTGCTCCTGACATCGCTCCTCCAATCACACCTGTCTCCTTGTCTCCTTGTCTCCTTGCTGTCTTTCCTTACCGTGCTGCCTCCTTTATCCTCACCCTGCTGTTTTGTCTCCACAGTCACTGTATCCATCAGATTCTAGACAGTGTGTCACACACACACCAACATGACATAGTGCACAGGGACCTCAAGGTGTGTGTGTGTGTGCGTGTCTCATTCTGTTGTGTTACTTTACATGCTTGTGTCCTGTATTGTTCTTTGAAATATGCCTGTGGTTTCAAACCAGTTGCCTGTGCCTGCTGTCTGCCTCTCTGTCTGCGTCCTTGTGACTCTGCTTGTATTCAGGTTTTGCTTGGTGCACTATTTTACATGGTCTCAAAGGAAAACGTTCATTTTCAGTGCGTCCCTGCGTACAAGACTGCCAGAGCCCCTGAATGAGAGTGTGAGTTGTAAGAAATGTTCGAAACGAGGTGAAGGTCAGTTAAATAAGAGGAGAGCTGCATTGTTTTAGGCGCTCGCTGAAGCTTTCCCTCAATATGATGTTGCTGCTGTTTGTGAATAAATTACTCAGGAAACTGTGGAGGTGAGACGGTTTCTCCCACACGGAGCTGCAGATCACTCCTACACTGTTTGACTCGTGTTTGGACCCTTCTGGGAAATTAAAAAAGTCAACCTGCCTTTTTTCCCTCTTTATAGCTCACAGACAAGTGTTTTCTTGCAAAGTGGTCATTCTCACAGTGAGTGTGTGTGCGTGTGTGTGTGTGTGTGCGTGTGTGTTAGAGAGGTAATACAGTAGTCCCTCGCTACTTCGCAGTTCGTTTATTGTGGACTCGCTCTTTCGCGGTTTTTCAAAATAAGAGTGAACATGACACACATTTGTCTGATTGATGGATGAGTCGCACGATCGTCATGTTTTTTATTTATTTAAAATTAATTATTTTAAATTATTTAGCACCTGCTGCACATTTGTGCAGAGCTGCAGAAAAAAGCGTCCTCCTGCACCTTTGTGCAGTCCATTGTTGCACTAGCACCACTATATGCCAGCAGACAGCAAGTGTGTTGTTTCAGTAGCGGGGCTGAATAAGTAGTAGTCTAAGAACAGAGTTCTTTTAGAGAAAATATCAGGCGATATGGAGCAGTCAGTGACATTTGTATGTGACAGAGTGGATAATATATGCTACAGCTTTCCCACAAACCTTCAACTGTCTCTTCATTCACTGCACTACACCGCTGTGAACCACAACAGAAGTACCCTGAAGTCCTGAATTACTTCAGCCGTGGAGCAGAAAGAGCTCCCCCCCACACACACACACACTCCAAAGGAAACCGGAGGTTCAACAGGAAGGTTAACGCCATACTGCAGGATAAACTTCCTCCTGCAGCTGATCAACTGTTCTCCATGCAGAGCGGAGAAGTGGGCGTGGCCAAGAGCTCTTGCAGTTGGCTGAGAGCAGAGGAGGGAGGGTGCTCTTTAAGAGCGTTTACACTTTAGAAACATTATATATATATATATATATATACACTAATATAAACTACCACTTGTACTACTATTCCTACTTCGTGGCTTTTCACTTATCACGGGTCTTCATGGTAGGATCCCGCGATAAACGAGGGACTGCTGTATAAGGGCGTTCTGCTGCCTCTGCATGAATGTGGCTGTGTACAGACTAACCTCCTCCCCCTGCTGTTTGCATGCAGTCATTGCATCCAGCAGATCCTGGAGGCTGTGCTCCACTGCCATCAGATGGGAGTGGTACATCGAGACCTTAAGGTGAGTCACCTGCGGGGCTGTGTGTGTGTCAGTGTGCGTCTGTTTGGGTACAGAAAAAAATGTGTCAATTATACACACAAATAAGTTCAGCATCTGCACTTTGGATCTCAGCTTTAATGGACTGAGAAGAGACAACGGTGTTTTTTAGATAAAGAGGGAATTTCTAGTGTGTAGACACCAAAATAGTTACATTGGTTCAATGTCATGATTATATTCACAGTTTAGGGCAAAACTTAACAATGGATTCAATTCAATTCAATTTTTTTTCAATTCAGTTTATGTATATAACGCCAAATCGCAACAAAGTTGTCTCAGGGCACTTTACAGGAACATTCAGACCAACTTCTTAATAATACTCATTAAAGATGAAAGTTAATCTCTTGGCGCCTTCCTCATGGATATTTTACAGTTTAATATGAAAATAATTTGAGTTATTTAAATCAAAATAATAAAGGAATTATTAACTAACAGATTAAGATCATTTTTGGGGCAAATCGTTTAGACAAGAAAATAACATTTCTTATTTGTTTTGTCCTTCCAGGACATTGCAATGATGCAACTATTGATGTAAACAATCCCTGAAAATGTTGCTCAGTTTTGAAATTTTACCCAATCCCTGCAACTTTTCTGTAAACTTGACAAAACCCCTTCACCCCCTGCCTATTTCTACTTCTTTGAAAACTATGCCTGTATGGCGAAAACATGTCCAATGCCAGAAACATGTATTTGTCACAAGATATTACTGATGAAATCTGTTTCGTCTTCTCACCTGAGGGTGGTAGAAAATGGTTTTGCTCTTCACGCAGCTGAAACATTAGTGAAACAATACTCTTAAAATATTAGTGAAACAAAAGTAATTCAGGATACTGAATACTGAATATTTGTTCACGGTTCAGACTAGGTCGTGCTCCGCTCTGATACAGTCTTTGAGTTAGAACAAGACTGATGACAGATGGTGGTGTTCTGCTTGACTTTTTTTTTTTGTAATAAATTGTTTAAGAATATCAACAAGCTAGGTTTTGTCAAACACTTTTCTGCCATAAAACACTTAAGAATGGTTGGGTGTGTTCATTTTCCATCATTCATTCTAGCACAGCTTGAAGTGATAATTAGCACCAAGAGAGGAGTTAATTTGTTCACTGGATGGCAAAAACATTATCTGCTAGGAATCTGAAACAACTTATATGAGTGATAAAAGTTTAATATTATACTGGCTGACAACATAAATGTGCAACTGAGACATGAGAAATGCCAGAAGTCACCTGCTGGTTCCAACAGAGCCAGTAATCACCATGTTCATCAGATTGATCAACTTTCTTCATTACATTTGACATCTGCACTTTCAGTATCTGTTTATTTAAATAAATAAATAAATAAATAAATAAAAACGTACAACACCCAGATATTTTTTAAAAGGATTTTCTAAAAGTTTATAAAAGTCTGAGATTACAACTGTAGGTCCTGGTTAGATAAAAGAAAAATGATTATATTAATGTAATTATTTTATGTTAAAAAAGTTGAGTGCCATGTATGATTTCAAGTCACCCTCCCTAACGAAGTGTTCAGGGGGGATATAGTTTTCTTCTTGAGGGGCAGATAAGTCTGGATGTCATCTGCGTACAATGGAAGGAAGTAGTTTTTTTCTTTTTTAAATTGAACCAGGCTTATATATATAAGTTAAGTATAAATAAACTGTATAAGGAGAACAGAACTGGACCAAGAATAGATCCTTGCGGAACCCCACAGTTAAGGGGAACTGGAGATGAGGAGATGATGACGAGTCATGTGATTAAGGTCTTTTTGGTAGGGCTTAAAGCTCACAAAAGTTCAAGACTAAAAGGCTTAAAGCATTCCAAGTCTATTACATTCTTAATGCAATGCTCTAGTTCAGAAATGAGTACTGTTTTCAAAAGCTGCGTTTGCTCCAGCATCCCAAGAGAAAATTACTTTGTGCTTGAGTTCTAGCTGCATCCTATCTTTTTGCACTTCTGTGAAATGTGGGTACACAAATATGCACAAATCTTTCAACAAAAGAAAATGCACAAATAATCTGCAAATTTAATAAAACTTTATTGATACATAAGCCACTTGCTTTGTGTATTAAGTGCTACGTTTTGCCACAAATTGTGAAGCTGATGACAAAACTCAGTGTGAACTATTAGATTGTGGTGTACACCTTCATATTTGTCAAACTAGACTTTTGCACCAAGTTTGACTAAAAGTCTGCAGATGTTCTTCTTTTTCCATCCTTGTTATATACTGTACATTGTTAGACTGTTGTTCTAGAGGTGACAGCTGGTAAGTGTTGTGGTTATGAAGGCCAGTATGACTGTGCACTTATCTCAAGCTTGGCTTGTTGACGTGCATGAAGTTTGTGTCCAAATAATTAAATCAAGGTGTGCATGCACTTTATTGTATGGCATGAGTGATTGTTTGACTAACTCTGTTCTCAAAAGACTATCAGGTGAAAATACGTCTTACTGGATGTTTCCAGTTTTCAGGTTTCAACAGTAATGCTGAGGTTGACCCAAGTGTGTTCTTACACCTCGACATCCCAGTTAGGCGACGTCACACCTGCAGCTAAGAAAGAGTTTTAAACCAGAAACATCAATTTTTATATTCCTGAGTTTCTCTAAAGGTTTACTGGTGTGCCTGGTGTTATAAGCAGGACAACAGCCAGTTCACAAAGTGGGAATAAATCCAGAAGATGTTGTGTCTTGAATTTAAATCTATTCCAACATTTTAGTCCTGCAGCATAAAAAAAATTAAAAGTTTACGGTAAAAAGACGTTTTAAACTAGTCGTTTCTACAAGTAGTTCACATTTTGGTACAAAGCAGCATTGACCGATAAGTGAGTCACTCATCAGGCGCTGAAATAACCATATGGATAAAAACTCCATCATCACTCACCACAGACAGACTATACCATTAACAGATGCTGTTAACAAAATATCTCATGAACCACAGGACAATTTTTAATAAAAGGCCCAAAAAGGAATCACTGACTTCATTTCTGATTAACCTTTGGAGACAATCTGCCTAAAGATGGCCGCCCCAGCCAATTAACCTTAAAGAACACAAAAAGGACTAAAACTTAATGAATTTTATAATAATTGATCTAAAGTTTTATATGGCAGTAACTAAGGCTGATGTCCAACACATATTCTGAGTACTAACAGCACTTGCACAAAATCTGTTTTTTTAATTTTGCCATTAACTATTTGCAGTCAGCTCGTGTCTTTTAGCAAAATATCTTATAAACCATTGGATAAATTTTAATAACTACTTCAGGGATTTATAATTGGATTGACCTCTATAACTGGGTAACGTTTGGAAACAATTAAACTCAATATGGCCGCAAGAACCAGCTGATCTAAAAACTACAGACATAACTGTGATTTAGGTAATTTTCCAAATAATCTGCTAAAATTTGCTCTGGTTGCAGCTGAAAGTCCTCCTGAACATATACTGCAAGTGCTACTCATTCTGTGAGATTTTTGCCCTAAAGTTTAACATTAATTATTGGAATCAACCCTGTTTGTCTGTTAACAAAATATCTACTGAACCACTGGAAAGGTTTTAATTAAACTTTCAGAAAGTAGTCATTAAATGTGCAACTGATTAGGTTTTAGAATCAATCCAATTCAAGATGGCTACCTAGGCTACTGAAAATTTGACAACAAAATAATCGCTGCAAATCAATGAATGTTTTTGATATTGAGCTACATTTTTATTTGTAGTAACTGAGTTATCTCCAGCAGATAATCTGGGAATAAAACTTCACAGAATGTTATTTTCATGGATAACCGAAACAGCTCCATCGTATTCGACGTCAGGCAATCTTAGTCTAAAATACTGACGTAAAAGGCGGCGGGCGATATGCATTCACTTAATGAATGCTAACGTTATGTTAGCTTTGGCCAGAGGCAGCATCGACTTCCCAAATATATTTTTAAAATGTGGCAATAAATGCAAAAAAAATAAAGCACGAAGTCTTACATTTATTCTGTCTGAAATAAAATGAGATTACAATAAATGTAAGAATCCATACTTTGTTTTTGGTAATTTTATGATATATCATTTATGATTTGTGCCACAGATTATATCCTCCTTGAATTAAAACTTTGAGGAACATTTTCCACAGAGCCGAATTAAAGGCTGTCCCAACAGAGGAGGCTGAAGACCTGGGATGATTTCTCAAGTGAAGGTTTATTGAGTTCCTCTGAAGGAACAGACAGAGCTGCTGCAGTTTCTTTAGACGAGCTGAGATTGGGGGGTGGGGGTGGGGGTGGAGGGGGGCACACACTTTGTAGCGGAGGATATCTGATCCTTCCCACACCTTTGGAACTGTTCATCCACACAGATTAGATAGATTTAATACAAACAGCTGCTCCAACGACCACAAACATCCCATCGTTCTTTTTTGTTAACTCTTCTGTGATGGACAAGTGGCTTTCTAAATATAAGTTAATTAAAGAAAACAATGCATTAAAAGATTTGTGGCTGGATTTTAGTTATTTAAGAGCCATGTACAGGAGAAGACGGATAAAACTGCAAAAATTCACCTTTCCATTTCCTGAAAGAATGCACAACCCAGCTGCTTTTAAGTTTTAAACTAAAAATATCATGTTGAGAAATGATACCACTTTACAATAAGGCTCACCTTATAGATGCTAATAAATAGTTTATAGATACATTATTAAGTCCTCTATAAACACTTTATAAATCATTAATAATTGTTTATTATGTGTTAATTAAGGGTGACAGAGAGACAAAACTGACCAGTTTCTTGCCAAATAGTGAGCCAACTCTGCCACCTGTATATTTCATCTAGTGTTGTTATATTAAACATTTCAGATTAACTTACTACCTTGTAAGCACAATAAGCATTTGTAAACATCATTTTTTTAGGATATAATATTAGTTGTAGATACTTAAAATGCAATGATAAAGTACAATATTCAAGTTATATACTATATATAGTATACAAAGTTCAAGAGTGACTTGACACAAGGAATGTGATAGCTGAAACCCTTGTCTTGCATACGTCTGTGCGTGGTGGTTCTTGAAGCACTGACTCCAGCTGCAGCCCACTCTTTGTGAATCTCCCCCACATTTTGGAATGGGTTTTGTTTCACAATCATCTCCAGGGTGCAGTTATCCCTATTGCTTGTACACTTTTTTCTACCACATCTTTTCCTTCCCTTTGCCTCTCTATTAATGTGCTTGGACACAGAGCTCTATGAACAGCCAGCCTCTTTAGCAATGACCTTTTGTGTCTTGCCCTCCTTGTGCAACGTGTCAGTGGTCATCTTTTGGACAACTGTCAAATCAGGAGTCTTCTCCATGATTGTGTAGCCTACAGAACTAGACTGGGACCATTTAAAGGCCTTTGCAGGTGTTTTGAGTTAATTAACTGATTAGACTGTGGCACCAGGTGTCTTCAATATTGAACCTTTTGGTTTTACAATATTCTAATTTTCTGAGATCCTGAATTTGGGGTTTTCATTAGTTGTCAGTCATAATCATCAACATTAAAATAAATAAACATTTGAAATATATCAGTCTGTATGTAATGAATGAATATAATATACAAGTTTCACTTTTTGAATGGAATTACTGAAATAAATCAACTTTTCCATGATATTCTAATTTTATGACCAGCTCCTGTATATGCTAAAAAAATAGGTTTACAAATGCTTATTGTGCTTACAAGGTAGTAAGTTAGTCTGAAATGTTTAATATAACAACTCTAGATGAAATATACAAGTGGCAGATTTGGCTCATTATTAGGCCAAAAAAACGGGTCAGTTTTGTCTCTCTGTCATCCTTAATGAATGCATAATAAGCACTTATTAATGATTCATACAGTGTTTATAGAGGAATTAATAACATATCTACAAACTATTTATTAGCCATCTTTAAGGGGAGCCTTATTGTAAAGTGGTACTGAAATGATTTAAATAATGTAAATGACATTCTGTGCAAACTCTTGTAAGATCTTATAAGATGAGATGACTCTCAGCTACACCAACATTTATCTCAATATCTGAATAAATGACTTTATTATAACCATTTATTTATAGCTGAAATATATCCGCGATGGCAGCCATCTTCTTTGATTGGGTTCTCTCCAAAAGTTAATAACTAAATAATCACTTGTTGAAGGTTTTATTAGGTTCAGTGTGTTTAATTGTAGCAGAATAAGTAAAATATGTACTTGGTTTTGACATTCTACTAGACAGTTTTAACCCACGCATTTATTTTTATGTGTGTTTGTCTGAATTGTTAGCAAAGTATCCACTGAACAGATTTCATTGAAGCTTTCAGAACTGGACGTACAACTAATTAACTATGGAGTCACTTAAATTCAAGATGGCTGTCACAGCTATTCAGTATTAGCCCACAATAAGTCAATAAACAGTAAGTTTGTTAAATGGCCCTTGGGCCTCCTTATCTTTCATAATCATAACCTTGAATCTGAAATGAACAGATAATTTCAGTTTTTATCTCAAAGTTTCACTATAATTTTGACTTAGCAAATCTAAAATATGAGATTTTTGTTCCTTTAATCTCTTTAACCATTTGACTCAGTGATTTACGTATTTGCCTTGTAATTAATTTAGATTAGTCAATCTGAGTTTGATCTCTGACATTAAAGCAATAAATATTTTCCTTCTTATATATGTTGCTGGACTGTAACAACTTCTTACCATATAGAATGATTCTTCTTGCAGCTGTTAAAGTTTATTGATCTTTGCTGACAGAGTTTTTGATCGAACCAGCAGAGGGAGACAGGATGTTTGTCCTGCAGCTGGAACACATGCAGATGTTTCTGTGTGACGTGATGAACGCCGCTCTATAGTTGTCAGTCTGTTACATCTGTGACTGTTGCAAACACACGAGCTGTATCCATCCTGCTGGGTAATTTAATTATCCTATCATCATTTCCTTAATCAAATAATCCACACAGAAATGGATCCAAGAAGATTTTTCAACCAGTTTACTCCTTGCAAGGGGGGCAGAGTTAACACACAGGCATAAAAGATGTTACATGTCGCTCCGGTCCAAGAGTTAAAGCTTACAAACCCATTATCAGACAGAGACGAGGTCAAGACAACCTCTGCTTCACAGCTCACAGTTGTTGAAGGCGTCAGAAGTTATCAGTTATCAATTATCAGTTATCAGTTATCAGACTCCTCTCTGAGTCGACACAAAGACTCTCTTGACTTCACACACATGGTTCTATATTAATTCAACATTAGTGAGTGAAAACATCCATGACCTTTACATAACATCCGACCTCAAGTTAAAAACGGCGGAGCGGGCCCATCTGTCAGTGTGTACGTGTGTAAGTGGATCAGAATATCTGGGTGCTGCTTTAAATAAGCGTGTGCTGCATCCACAGCTGTTGTTGGTCTTGTATCGGTCCGTCTGGACGTCTGTGCTCCGTGACCTCCTTACAGAGTCATGAAACTAACTCAGAGGACATTTTACTCACATCACGACAGTCTGATGGTTGTGTAGAGAATAAATGTGCTTATGTCCTGGACCAGAGTTTTAACTCCATGAAACTTTTCAGACAACAAATAAAAGTGATAAACTACACAGCAGCTAAATATTTTATGCCTAATGTTCCTTTAAGGAATGCATATCACCCGCCTCCTTTCATGCCAGTTTCAGACTGAGATAAGATCATCTTATGACAGGAGGGACGGAGTTATAGTCAAATGATGCTATGAATGTGTGTAAAACAGACTTATTTGTTTTTATTTATTAATTTAGAGCATTGTTTTGCCTGATTTGCTAAATTTGCTGTGCTGTGATCGCCATCTTGAATTAGGTTGAGTCCAGAAATGAATCAGCTGTAGGTCTCCACTCAACGCTGTCTTTGTGAAAAAGTGCAAAACTGCTTTCAGAGCTGAGCTATAAGTTTATATAAAATAAATGATGCAACCACAGAAGATAAACAAGTATCACAACGAGGTTATAAATGTTTGCAAAGGCATAAACATTAATTCAGAAAAAAGAAAACAAGAGGAACTGAACAACTGAGTAAAACTTTCAGAAAGTGACGTCAAAGAACAAAAACAACCACAAATGTATTAGAAATGAGCCTAAAATGTAAAGCAGATATAACGGAGTAAATAATTACACAACACAACCACTGACAAAAACAAGCGCATAAAACACCACGTTAAGATGCAAAAAGAATTAAAATGACTCAATGTTGGCTTGATTAAATAATAACATCCATCCGGCTGACAGATTAAAACTGCATGAATTGTAAATCTGTTGCCATGGTAACACAGCTCCTTTACGTGTGCAGAGGCTGACCTCAGGTGTCAGAATGGACTCTGGAACAAGAGGTTCTCAGACGGACGGTCGTTAACTGAACCGCTGCAGCCTGCTTGCTGCCTAGACCACGCTCGTCTCGTGTGCACGTTCGTGCTCTCGCACACACACACGAGTCAGACATGACACTGACAGAGAGGTGCAGGTGCAAACCTGATAGAAATGATGAAAGTGTTTCAGTTTGCCACTAAAACATGTCAACTTCCTCCTGTCTTCAGAAAACCACGCAGTCTTCTTCTGTTGTTGCTTCAGTTTTATTAACCCCAGTAGACCACCTGGATCAGGTCCAGTCTAGCAGACTGACTGGAACCTAACGAGCTAACAGAGCTGACCCGACTGTGTGTTCCACCTGCAGCCGGAGAACCTGCTGCTGGCCAGTAAGTGTAAGAATGCAGCCGTCAAACTGGCTGACTTTGGACTGGCCATCGAAGTTCAAGGAGAACAGCAGGCTTGGTTTGGTAAGTTAAACACACACACACACACACACACACACACACACACACACACACACACACACACACACACACACACACACACACACACAGCTCTCCATACAGCAGTGAGCTCTCTGGTGGCTGAATAATTCAAAGTTTTAGAGGTGTCACCCACACTGTTTCCTCGTCTCCTAGCTGTCCCATCCTTGAGCACTTCAGTCCCGTCTAATCTCTGTTGTGTCCAGCAGCCATGCAGCCCGGCTCCCATCTTTGCACCTTTAGCTGTCTTCAGCTGGTCTTTGTAGCACTTCTTCTGTCCTCCAGCAGGGCATTGACCTTGCTGTAATTGGCAATGAAGCACATGTCCTATATGTCCACATGTTCCAGATGTTCACATGTCCTAGATGTCCACATGTCCTAGATGTTCACATGTCCTAGATGTCCACATGTCCTTTTCTTTTTTTGCAAAATTGCAAAATAAAAAGGCAGATTTTCTGTTTTACAAAAAAGAGCTATAAGAATTATTAGTAGGAAGTGCTATGGTCACCCATCAAATATATTATTTCATCAGATGAAATTATTAAAATTATATGATTTGGTTGAATATAGTATTTATAAAGCTCATAAGAAATATTACCCCCAAATATTCAATTAAAAGTTATTTAAAAAGAGAGTTGTTATAACTTAAAGGGAATGAAAAAGTTTGTAAAACCTCCATTTAGAACTGGTCTGAAGGAGCTGCGTTGTAATTCAGGGAATAGGATGTGGAATTGCCTCGACATCACCATAAACATTTCTAAAACAATTAATATGTTTAAAAAGATGATTAAGTTAAAATTGTTGGGGAGGTACGATGCCAAGTCAAGGGTGTCTAATATTTTTTGTTTTCTCTTTGGAGATTGTTCAAGCGTAAGCTGGTGTTTGTTTGTAGTTATTTTATATTTTTTTAAATATGAGGCAGATATAAGAATTTTCTTCTTCTTCCTGCACCCTTTTCATTCACTGTTTTTTTTTTTTTCTGTTTTGATGAATTTGTTTTGTTTTTGTTTCTTTTAAATAAATAAATAGATGGATAAATAAATAAATAAATTTAAACATCTATGGAGGTTCACTTTTGAAATTAGGCTAGGCAGATCTGGACCAGTTATGATTTAAGCGTTTCGTTGTCTTTAGTCTAATGAGTCATTAGCAATAGTGTATTTCAGAGCAACACATACAAACAATAATGTTTATAAGCAGAGGTAAATGATTTCAGCTGAATTATAGTTAAAATGGCACAGACTGACGGAGACGAGTGCTTCAAATTTACACTCTTATTTTTGAAAAAGAGTCGGAGCAAAGATCTATAAAGAAACTGTAGCTATGTGCAACCGTGTCTATAGAGGAAGTTATTTTTCTATAGGAAATTTGGGACGTAATTATCTCAAATTAGTCGTAAAACACGTAAAATAAATTATGCAAGAAGTATTTTCTCTACAAAATAAGACGTAGTGAAAACTTGTTGTAATCTTTCCTTAGTTTTTTGTGAAAACAGGAAGTTGGAAGCTCCGATGTGTCTCCTATAAGAAAAAACTCGTTTATTAACAGGATTCATCTGAAGAATCTGTCACATGTTCGATTTAACATGCTTCAAACTCACTCAGACGTGCTTCTCTGGTTAAAGTCCATTCAGATTCCCACCCGAACTTAAACAAATTCCCGCAGCACCGAGGCACACAAGACAACATTTGGAACCTTATTTTATTATTTGTGGTAACGAGAGCAAAGTTTGCATTGATTACACTGACACAGAAAATGAGGTGCAGCCTGGTGTGGGTGGAGGAAACTGATTAAGACCTGAAGGAACTGATTATCTCTGAGCGTGAAGCCAAGATCATTGAGCAAATGTAATTATAAATTATTAGATTCATGATTTATTTATTTATTTGAAAACTGTTGAGATTGTTTTTGCAGCTGAATAGTCAGAAAACTGGAAAAAGCAACAAAATGATGTGAAGTATAAAAAGATTATAGATGTTGAAGAAGCACAACAAGTTAATGGGCAAGTTGTGATGTAGTTCAAAGTTCTTGTCAAATAAAAACTGTGCAAATAATTTATGATGCAGAGCAGGTTGACAGGATGATGACACTGTTCAGACTGAGACGTGCAACTGAAACACATGAAATAAACTGGTACAGAGAGGTTTGGATGAATTGTAGTTAGAGACGACATGGAGGTAGCTGGAGAGAGGACAGAGGACGCAGAGGACAGAGTGAGGACAGAGGATGCAGAGGACAGAGTGAGGACAGAGGATGCAGAGGACAAAGTCAGGACAGAGGATGTAGAGGACAAAGTCAGGACAGAGTATGCAGAGGACAGAGTGAGGACAGAGTATGCAGAGGACAGAGTGAGGACAGAGGACGCAGAGGAGAAAGTGAGGACAGAAGATGCAGAGGTCAAAGTGAGGACAGAGGATGCAGAGGACAGAGTGAGGACAGAGGATGCAGAGGAGAAAGTGAGGACAGAGGACGCAGAGGACAGAGTGAGGACAGAGGATGCAGAGGAGAAAGTGAGGACAGAGGACGCAGAGGAGAAAGTGAGGACAGAAGATGCAGAGGACAAAGTGAGGACAGAGGATGCAGAAGACAGAGTGAGGACAGAGGATGCAGAGGAGAAAGTGAGGACAGAGGATGCAGAGGACAGAGTGAGGACAGAGGATGCAGAGGAGAAAGTGAGGACAGAGGACGCAGAGGACAGAGTGAGGACAGAGGATGCAGAGGACAAAGTGAGGACAGAGGATGCAGAGGACAGAGTGAGGACAGAGTGAGGACAGAGGATGCAGAGGACAGAGTGAGGACAGAGGATGCAGAGGACAGAGATGGAAGAGGATGACTCGCTGTGGCGACTCCTGAAGAAGGAAAAGCAGAATGAAAAAGAAGAAGAAGACCGTTATGAATGAATTAGAATGTAAATGCTCAATGTAAATGTGAATGTAAAGTATCCATCTGGAATTTGGTTGGAGCCACATGGACACTTCTGTCCCTCGGTCTGACGCAGAGACAACCTGTGGAGGAAGCTCAATGTGTTTGAGGTTGTCTTCATTTAGTCCTGATCTCTGTTTTATGACAGCAGGTCCATAGATGGAGCAGTAAATCAAGAAGGCTGCCTTTTAGATTAATGTTGAAAATTGTTTCCAGCACCAAAACAAGAGATGTACACATACAGTGGTGCTTGAAGTCAAAATCATTTTCCTCAATCAATCTATAAATAAATGATCAAGTATAATAATAATTTTGTCTCATTTATTTAACTGGATTCTCTTTATTTACTTTTAGAACTTGTGAAAACATCTGTTCATGTTTTAGGTCATATTTATGAAGAAATATAGAAAATGATGAAGGCTTCACTGTAGCTCAACTCTGATAAAGTTCTCCTTGCGTGAAAAACAGCTGCAGAACAAAAACCAAGTCCTGCTCGGTTTGTTCTTGTCTGCAGGTTTTGCAGGAACTCCCGGCTACTTGTCTCCAGAGGTGCTGAGAAAGGAGGCGTACGGTAAACCCGTGGACATCTGGGCATGTGGTGAGCTTTTTGTTTGTCGCTGCCTCCACCTCCTCGCTCTCCTGCTTGTCGCTCACCGATAGCTCGTGCCTTTGTGTGCAGGTGTCATCCTTTACATCCTGCTGGTTGGGTACCCTCCATTCTGGGATGAAGACCAGCATAAGCTCTACCAGCAGATCAAGGCTGGAGCGTACGATGTGAGCTCCTCTACTTTTCTGTCACTTCAAGTCAGACACTTTGCTGCTTACATCTTTAACGTATGTGTGGGCATGCACGGGTGGGGTTTAGTTTCCCTCCCCAGAGTGGGACACGGTGACTCCAGAGGCCAAAAATCTGATCAACCAGATGTTGACTATTAACCCTGCCAAGAGAATCACTGCCCAGGAGGCTCTGAAGCACCCATGGGTCTGTGTAAGTATCATCCAGCACAGGAAACACTTCTTCACTTCCTCTTTGACTAATCACTGAGTGAATCCCCAACATTAATATAAACTGCACTATAGGACTTACTTTTGTTTTTGCCTGAGTTGCTGTTGGTTGTGGAAGGTCATCAAAGATCATGGACTTTTAAAATAAATCAGAGAGCTCATGCAGACAAGTGTATCTGTATCCATTCAGCTGGCTCTGCTCCACACCATCTCCTGCACAAATAAAATCCAGTAAATCTGGATATTTCCCAGTAAAGCTGTTACATCAGGAGCCTCAGAATCAACAAAATGTTGTTCAAAGTGGACTCTGTCCAACATGCCCACATAAACCTGTCACTGCCTTTCTGTGATGTTTTATTTTCAGCAGCTCTCTTTTTTTTTGTCTGCCCACAGCAACGCTCGACTGTGGCCTCCATGATGCACAGACAGGAGACGGTCGAGTGCCTGAAGAAGTTTAACGCCAGGCGGAAACTCAAGGTGTGAAACAGTGAATAGAGACAGTTGGAAACCTTTGCTTTATCTGCTCCAAATGGAGTTGATCAATATCCACACAAACAGACATAATTATAAAAGATTATCATAAGAGAAAATGACATGGAGTTATGTCATACTTTCATTCATCCATCCATTAGCTTCCACTTATTCCGAGGTCGGGTCACGGGGCAGTAGCTTGAGCAGGGAGGCCCAGACATCTCTTTCCACAGCCACCTCTTCCACCTCTTCTGGGAGGACTCCAAGGCGTTCCCAGGCCAATCGAGAGACATAGTCTCTCTAGCGTATCTGGGTCTTCCCCAGGGTCTCCACCCAGTTGGACATGCCCGAACCACCTCTCTAGGGAGGTGCCCAGGGGGCATCCTTACCAGACGCCCGAACCACCTCAACTGGCTTCTCTCGACGTGGCGGAGTAGTGGTTCTATTCCAAGTCTCTCCCGAATAACTGAACTTCTCACCCTATCGCTAAGGGAGAGTACAGCTACCCTGCGGAGAAAACTCTTTTCAACCACCTGTATCTGCGATCTCATTCTTTCGGTCTCTACCCAGAGCTCATGATCATAGGTTAGGGTAGGAATCTAGACTGACCAATAACAGCTTACAGCTCAGCTCTCTCTTCACCACAAGGGACCGGTACAGAGTTCGCAATACTGCAGATGCTGCACCAATCCATCTGTCAATCTCATGCTCCATTCTTCCCTCACTCATGAACAAAACCCCGAGGTACTTGAACTCCTCCACTTTAGGCAGAACCTCACCCTCGACCTGAAGAGAGCAATCCACCCTTTTCTGGTTGAGGACCATGGCCTCAGATATGGAGGTGCCGATTCTCATCCCAGCCACTTCACACTCGGCTGCGAACTGCTCCAGTGAGAGCTGGAGATCACGGCACAATGGTGTCAACAGGACCACATCATCTGCAAAGAGCAGAGAAGGAATCCTGAGGCCACTGAACCGGAAACCCTCCGTCAGCTGGCTGCACCAAGAAATTCTGTCCATAAAAGTTATGAACAGAATCGATGACAACGAGCAGCTCTGGCGGAGTCCAACTCCCACCCTGAAGGGGGTCCGACTTACTGCCAGCAATGCGAACCAAACTCTCGCACCACTTGTATAGGGACTGAACAGCCCATAACAACAGGCCTCCAATCCCAACTCGACCAACGATCGGACTCGCTTCTCCAGTACCCCTGAATAGACCTTACCAGGGAGGCTAAGGAGAGTGATGCCCCTATAATTGGAGCACACCCTCCGGTCCCCCTTTTTGAAGAGGGGAACCACCACCCCAGTCTGCCAGTCCAGTGGCACTGCCCCCGATGTCCGCACGACATTGCAAAGGCGTGTCAGCCAAGACAACCCCACAACATCCAAAGCCTTAAGGAAATCAGGGCAAATCTCATCCACTCCCGGAGCCCTGCCACCTCGGAGTTTTTTAACTACCTCGGCGACCTCAGCCATGGTTGTGGACGTATCAACCCCAAAGTCCCCTGACTCAGCTTCCTTCATGGAAGACGTGCTGGTGGGATTGAGAAGGTCCAAGAAATATTCCTTCCACCTCCCGACGACATCACTAGTTGAGGTCAACAGCACCCCACTTTCACTGAGCACAGTGTTAGTAAAGTGCTGTTTTTTGTTCCTCAGCCGGCAGATGGTTTGCCAGAATCTCCTTGGAGCCGACCGAAAGTCTCTATACAATGTCTCACCAAACTCCTCCCATATCTGAGCTTTTGCCTCAGCAACAGCCAAGGCTGCACACCACTTGGCCCTCCAATACTCCTCAGCTGCCTCCAGAGTCCCACTGGCCAACAAGGCCCAATAGGACTCCTTCTTCAGCTTGACAGCCTCCCTAACTCAGGGTGTCCACCACCGAGTTCGTGGATGACCACCGCAAGGAGCACTGACAACCTTGCAGCCACAGCTCAAGGCAGCTACCTCAACAAGCGAGGTGCGGAACATGGCCCACTCAGACTCAATGTCCCCCACATCAACTGGGATGCGATTAAAGCTCTCCTGGAGGTATGAGTTGAAGATCTCTCTGACTGGTTCTTCTGCCAGGCGTTCCCAGCAAACCCTCACTACACGTTTGGGTCTACCCGGGTCTTTCCGGCATCTTCCCCCACCATCTGATCCAACTCACTACAAGGTGGTGATCAGTTGACAGCTTAGCTCTTTTCTTTACCCGAGTGTCCAAAACAAATGGCCGCAAGTCAGATGACATGACTATAAAGTCAATCATTGATATATGACCTAGGGCATCTTGGTGCCAAGTGCACTTATGGACACCCTTATGTTTGAACATGGTGTTTGTGATGGACAAACTATTACTAGCACAGAAGTCCAACAACAGAACACTGCTCGGGTTCAGATCAGAGAGACCGTTCCTCCCAATCATGCCCCTCCAGGTCACACTGTCATTACCCACATGGGCATTGAAGTCCCCCAGTAGAATAAAGAAGGCCCCAGCTGGCGCACCTTCTAGCACCCCTGCCAAGGACTCCAAGAAGGCTGGATACTCTGAACTACAGTTCGTAAGCACAAACAACAGTCAGAGCCCGTCCCCCAACCTGAAGGCAAAGGGAAGCCCCCCTCTCATCTACCGGAGAAAACTCCAACACACAGGCACCAAGTCGGGGGTTACAAGTAGACCCACACCAGCTCGACGCCTCTCACCATGGGCAACTCCAGAGTGGAATAAGGTCCAACCCCTCTTAAGGAGATCAGTTCCAGAGCCCATGCTGTGCATCAAGGTGAGCCCAACTATATCTAGTCGGTACCTCTCCACCTCGTGCACAAGCTCAGGCTCCTTCCCTGCCAGAGAGGTTACATTCCATGTCCCAAGAGCTAGCTTTGGTAAGCCAGGGTCAGAGCGCCAAGGTCCCTGCTTTCAGCCACTGCCCATAACATCATACACTCGACTTTTATGGCCCTTCCTGCAGGTGGTGGGTCCACAGGAAGGCAAACCCATGCTGCTCCTTCGGGCTGAGCCCGCTCTGGCCCCATGGGCAGAGACCCGGTCACCAGGCGCTCGCCAACGAGCCCCTCCCCAAGGCCTGGCTCCAGGGTGGGGCCCCAATAACTCATGTCCAGGCAAGGGACACTGAGTTCCTTGATTTGTTTTGTCCATAAAAGTCTTCTGAATCGCTCTTTGTCTAGCCTGTCACCTAGGACCAATCTGCCTTGGGAGACCCTACAAGGGGCAATTATAATTGCCCCGACAGCATAGCTCCTAGGGTCATTCAGGCGCACAAACTCCTCCACCACGATAAGGTGGCGATTCAAGGAGGAGGATGTCATACTTTGATTTCTATAACAGACTTTTTAAAAAAATATGTAAGGCACTATGAATATTAGATGAAATGACTCAATAAAAGCAATAGAATTTTAAAAGTTGGCTTTGAAGTTCTTTTTATACGTCTGGCCTTCAATATTTTATTCTGTTGTTTTAAGATAAAACCTGTTTATGGTTTGTGAAATTATTATTTTATAGGAAATAAATGTAACTATTTTAATTAACTTAGATTTATGTATTTTGCTTTTATTTGCTCTGAGATTACTACACTTTTCGTCGTACACTTCATACCACCGTATAAGTCGTATCTATTATGCGTCACCGCTGACAACCCGGAAATGTGGGGCGGCGTTTCACCAACAATTGATTGGCTGCCAAATGGTGGCCATGGGAGTGTGCACGGGAGGACTTTAACAAGAATTTAACAAGATTAACACTTAACAACAATTATTTGTTTACTCGACATTATAGCAAAGGTGTGTCTCATTTAATCCATCCATCCATTTTCTTCTGCTTATCCGTGGTCGGGTCGTGGGGGTAGCAGCTTAAGTAGGGAGCCCCAGACTTCCCTCTCCCCAGCCACTTGGGCGAGCTCCTCCGGGAGAATCCCAAGATGTTCCCAGGCCAGCCGAGAAACATAGTCCCTCCAGCGTGTCCTGGGTCTCCTCCCGGTGGGACATGCCCAGAACACCTCACCAGGGAGGTGTCCGGGAGGGATCCTAACCAGATGCCCGAGCCACCTCAACTGGCTCCTCTCGATGTGGAGAAGTAATGGCTCTACTCTGAGTCCCTTCCGAATGACTGAGCTTCTCACCCTATCTCTAAGGGAGAGCCCAGACACCCTACAGAGAAAACTAATTTTGGCCGCCTGTATTCGTGATCTTGTTCTTTCGGTCACATCCCAGAGCTCATGGCCATAGATGAGGGTAGTAACGTAGATCGACCGGTAAATTGAGAGCTTTGCCTTTTGACTCAGCTCTCTCTTTTCCACAACAGACCGGTACAGCACCCGCTTAACTGCCGATGCTGCATCTATCTGCCTATCGATCTCACGCTCAATTTTTCCCTCATTCATGAACAAGACCCTGAGATACTTGAACTCCTCCACCTGAGGCAGGACCTCCTCCCCGACCCGGAGAGGGCTCTCTACCCTTTTCTGGCTCAAGACCAGTTCCTCCAAGTCCATTTCCTTGGACTTGGAGGAACTGATCCTCATCCCGGCCACGTTACACTTGACTGCAAACCGCTCTAGCAAAAGCTGTAGATCACGACTTGATAAAGCCAATAGGACCACATCATCTGCAAAAAACAGAGAGGGGATTCTAAAGTCACCAAAACAGAGCCACTCAACACCTTGGTTGCACCTAGAAATTCTGTCCATAAAAGTTATTAACAGAATCGTGACAAAGAACAACCTTGGCGGAGTCTAACTCTCACTGGGAACAAGCCCATCTTACTGCCGGCAATGTGAACCAAGCTCTGACACCGGTCGTACAGGGACCTAACAGCCCATATCAAAGGGCCTGGTACTCCATACTCCCGGAGTACCCCCCACAGGGCTTCCTGAGGGACATGGCCGAATGCCTCCTCCAAGTCTACAAAGCACGTGTAGACTGGTTGAGCAAACTCCCATGCACCCTCCAGGACCCTGCTGAGGGTATAGAGCTGGTCCAGTGTTCCACGACCAGGACAAAAACCGCAC